TTCAGTAAAGTCAGAGGAGTGATAAATTACAAAAAGCAAGAAGGTGGGGTTGGTCTGTGTGAAACCATCTGGGTTTGCTAGGCTATTACCCTCCCAGAGACTAGGAGACAGGCCCCCTCATTCAAGTGTTAGCTGGAACAAACAGCAAACTCTTTTGACCACCTTGGGTTTCCTCAGGCAGGCACTTCAAGTTGGCTAGGGTCATCCTAGGGATGTAGCCAAAACCTCTTGGAACCTATGTTACAGTTTCGTTCCAGTCTCCACAGGAGAAGTTTGAGGCCACGTTAAAAAAGGATTCTGAGGAGCCTAGCTACAGTTTGGTCAAGGAGAGAATCTTTGTCAGCTCTCCCATAATATAAAAGAATATGTGTCAAATACTCGTTAATGGCAGAACCAGTAAAATGTTATGATCAATTCAAAGGAGAACTCAAACTGCTCCACCTTTACAGGGGCTGAAATGATTTTACACATAGAGGAAAAACTGGAAAAACTGGTTGCCACCCACAGGCACTCCTGCATTTTAATGAAAGGAATTATTTACATTACTATCGGTTTCCTATAAGTCAACTTCTGTCTCTACAGACTTATGACACAGCCCGATCAAAAAAAAGCTAGCAAAGGTGCACCTGCCTGCGAAATCAAATAATCCCCAACAGTTCCAGCTTTCCATTGAAAGGATATCCAGTAATCTCTTACCCATTTCAAAATCTTCCAGTTTCTCCCTACGCCAAGGTCAAACAGCAGTAAACGTGAGTTCAGAAAATTAGAAAGATGAACAGCAGCAATAATCAAGGATCTAGCTATACAGAATTAAGATGGTCAGGTTAAGTGGTTGGGTTCCTAAACTCTGAAGACTGATTGCCTGGGCTCCCTGAAATCTCAGCTTTGTCACAGGTGGTTGGGTCACCTTGAGCAATTTTACTTAACTCCCCTGTGCTTCAATTTCCTCATCTGTAAAACAGGCATAACAATAAGTATCTACTGCATAACTGAGTTAATAATTAATTGGTAAAGCGTCAGTTAAATGATAGCTATTGTTATTGTGCCTCTTTGGAGCCTGTGGTCATGAAAGCATGTCTATCTTTACTCTAGAAGGTAATGTCTGACTAACCTCAGAATTCTATTTTGATCATAAATTCTACACTAAAATGAACATTAATGTTTTCTCCCAAATTTCCCATTGCTTCCAGTAGACTAACAAGTTCCTCTTTGCCAAAGGTAAGATTCACGTGTAGAAAACATTAATCACCATTGCTTCCTCTTATTTAAGAGATGACATACATTAGCATCAAGTATAAGATTCTCTTTATCAGGAGTGTTTAGCAGAAGTCAAAGTAGTTAAAATCTTCTATCACAATCACACCTTGCCTCTGTGCCAGCCTGATCTCTGTACCAACAGCATCATCCATCTTCCCTTTAACTGGGCTGGTTATAATAACCCCAATACCATCACTTCAATGCCTTGTATTATTTTGTCTTCATTCAAACAATCTAACCACAAGTTACAGAGATTACAATTGAGGTTGCCAGGGGGGTGGGGCATGGGAAAAGCAGAAAGAGGCTGGTAAAAGGGTACAAAATTTCCATTATAAGATGAACAAGTTCTGAGGATATGACCTGTAACATGTGACTATACTTGATAATACTGTACTGTATAATCAAAATTTTCTAAGAAAGTAGAACCTAAGTGTTCTCACACACACACACGAAAGTGAATATGTTAAGATGATGGATATTTTAAATATCTCAATGGTGGAAATCTTTTCATAATATGTATGTATATCAAATCAACATGTCGTACACTTTAAATGTATTACAATTTTATTTGTCCATTATACCTCAATAAAGCTGAGGGGTGAAGGAGAATTATAAATTTGTAGAGAAGTGATGACACAAAGGAAGAAAACTTTAGGCTTTAGGGGTGACAAACTGTGGGGAGACAAACATATGGGGGGAAACTAATGGAAGGTTCAGGTTGTTTTAGTAAGGTCTGTTTTGTAGGTTCCTCTGGTGCCAGCTCTAGGCTAATAGGAGTCTGGAGTAGACTCCAGTGATTAAAAACCTCCTTTCCTTCCTGGTAGAGACGGAAGGCAGAGAGTTTTTCCTGTGTATCCCTCTCAATTGCCTTCTGTTCAAAATATTCCTTATGTCAAAGTGGCATGTCTGGAATAACAGAGTCTGAACCCCTTCACAGGGATACTTTGTAACAAATGGTGCTTCTCTTTGGCTTTTTTTTTTCTCAAATGTTTCATTTGAACCAGTTACATTCTTTTGTTGCTTTATTTTGTCTCTGATAAAATTTCATCCAGTTTCATGATGAGACTGAAATAAGGATGAGAGTCACAGCCTCGAGTAATGTGGTATCTATTCTAAAACCTGCTCACGTGACCATCTAAGCTTTATTTGGTTACTCACTTCTAAAAATGGACAAAACAAACAAACAAACAAACAAACAAACACCAGTCAAATTTTCCTAAGGATGAGCTTTTTATCTACACTTTCTAACATTTAAGGATTTCTCCCTGAGACATATTCCCAGTAATAGTTTAAATAAATTCCAGAGTCCAAGATTAAGGCAAATTGAAAATCAACATAACAATTTTTAAAATATCGACACCCAATAATTCAACTCCCTGGGAATAATTCCACAGAAAACAATACTAAATATGGGCAAAGATGACAAAATTGTATTCTGCAACATTATGTATAATAGTGAGCATTTGAAAACAAAATATTTCAAAGTAGTTGCCTGGTGGAATAATTGTAGCGTTTTCATTCACTGGACTTACGAAGCCATTAAAAATTCCGTTTACGAAACGTTTGTTGGTATGGAGACCTAGTTATAATAGATGTTAAATGGAAAAAGCAAGTCACAAAACTATAATATTTTGACTATGTAAAACCGTGTTCATCTTTCATTTATTGAAACATCCATCTGATCAAAAGAAATATTCAAATCAGCTTAAGCAAAAAAAAAAAAAAAAAAATGCAAGGGCACAAGGAGTATCCTGGACCCCAGGAGGTAAGTGGAGAGCTCTCAGGAACCAGGGCCTCGTGTTTCCCAATTCTAGTTCCTTCATCACTTTCTCTGCACATCCGCTTTTTCTCATCTGCTGCATGAGACCCAAATATGACCTTCCAGTTGAAACACCCAACTGTGTTCATCTTTCATTTATTGAAAGATCCATTTGATGGAAAAAAATATTCAAATCAGCTTAAGCAAAAAAAAAAAAAAAAAATGCAAGGGCACGAGGAGTATCCTGGACCCCAGGAGGTAAGTGGAGAGCTCTCAGGAACCAGGGCCTCGTGTTTCCCAATTCTAGTTCCTTCATCACTTTCTCCGCACATCCGCTTTTTCTCATCTGCTGCATGAGACCCAAATATGACCTTCCAGTTGAAACACCCAACTAGATTCTCCGTAACGCAATTCCAAATTTCCGGCATATAGAATTGAATTGGCCTACCTTGTCCAATCGGATATGATTAGGGGTCATCTGATCCACCTGGCTGCAGGGGTGCATCTTGGTAGGTGTGTTATCGGGGCAGCATGAAGAAGAAGCAGTGAGCTGGGCAGACACCTGGTAGCTAGCTGTTATTGTCATAGAAGGAAAGAAATATCCCAAATTTTTAATAGTATTTATCACTGGATCACGGTGGTCTTTATGTATGCTATTTTATGTTTTACGAGTTTTCTACAATGTGTTGTTTTAGAATCGAGAGAAAAGTGATTTTTTTAATATATATGACATGTATTGAGTCCCGTCTGTATTACGTGCCAGCTTATTGGGTAGGCAGATGTGAAGTTAAATGATTGATGGACATTCTTTGTCCTCAATGAACCTGCCTCCTTGTGCCAATTCCCCCTTCCTGTGTTCAGACTTACCTTGCCAAGACCTGGTGGGATTTTAATTGTTTTCCTCAACCAGTGTCATTAAGTTATGTAACTCTGAACTCCAATAATAACTGTAGCCGTACTATGTAATTTAGGTATTAATTGTATGCATTTGTTGATTCTTAACTTGTTTCAAATGAATATATCTCGTTTTCCTTAAAAAAAAAAAAAACTATCAGTTTTTTGAAAAAAGAAAAACCATTTTTAATATTTCTTTAATAACCCTTGGGTTGGCTAGACTGATGCTTGTTATGTGCATAAACATAGGTTTGCTGGTTAAAATTCACTTTGAATCACCAGAGAACTGACTTTCCCACAACCACCCTCCCTTTACCTCTCATGGATCTGTTTGCCTAATATTTAAACAGCCAGTTCTTCCTTCACTTCTATGAAAATAGCTTTAATTCCTCTTTCACCATTCGCACTTCCTTTATCTTCACCTTTTGACCAACCAGCACTCACGGTTTCATGATCACGAGTATGGCCATGAATGTCTATTTCAGTTAAGCATTTGGATAGAGTGTAAAATCATATTTAAGTATATGTACAGTAATATTCTATTCCTAAAATTCTGACATATGGTCTTTAAATGAGTTATTGTGACTTTTACTATGGCTGGGGTTAGAATTCGTTTTTAAAGCTTTCCAGTTGTTCCATTTGAATATAATCTTTAAATCCTATAGGAAAAGTAACGTGATATAGTGTGAAGCCCGAAAACCCAGGGTTTGGATCTTAGCTCAACTGATAGGGACCACTAGCAAGATACTTTACCTCTCTGAGCCTCACTTTTCTCATTTGAAAAGTAGGAAACATAACACCTGCCTCTCAGTGTTGTTAAGATTAAATATGTATATAATACCGATCGCATGTTAAGTGGTCAGTAAACATTTGCTGAAGTGCCGAAATGGAAAGAAAGTTAAAAACTATCAGAAACACCCACATAATTGTCTTGAAGGGCAGTGAGAGTCTTTGTTAAAAGATACAGAACTTTTAGAGTCAGCTCTTGCGGGCAGAGGTCAGCCTCTCCTTCAGTTAAAAGGCTGGGGGTGGGGCTTAACAAGGAAGTGGCAATTCTTCCCTAAGCCTCCCTTCAGCCTCAGTCCTAAACCAAGAGGCTACACTCGGATGGGGACTTAGATCACTCGAGCCTTCCTAAATGAGAAGCCAAGAAGACTTGGTGAAAGTTTCCTCTTAAATTTCGTGGAGAGAGACTCAAGTATAGAAATATTCTCACTGCCACCTCCCTGAAGCAAGAGAAACCACTGACAGCTTCGAAACCAGGTAACACCAGGAGGCATCAGTCTTGATTCTCTGCCATCCCAGGAGGACACGGTCGGGTCTCCAGTCCTGGTTTTACTAATGAGGCAATCTAACTAGAGGAGACATTTCCTGCGTCGATTAAAAAGTCCTTATCCTGTAAGGCTCAGAAAGCAAATGACAGCTAAAATCTGTTTTATTAGGATTTCAAGGAAAGAGAAAAAAATATTTAGGTTTCTCTTTTGTTTCTCCTTTGCTACAGAAGGTTGAGGCGATAGTTCAGTTAAGATGTAACTAGCTGAATCGTTTTTAACATGATGCAGTTCTCTGTCTTTGAATATATGACAAGGTATGTGATGATACGACGGTGGGTCGTGGTGATGCTGACCCTCTCCCCTAGAGCAGGGAGGGGGCTGAGGACAGGAATCCTAGGTTTGAACTCAGAGTCCTGAGCACCTTGTGGGCACTTGGGCACCAGGTCTAGTCCTGGCAGACCCCCAAAAGACTTCCTTGAGTACCAGGCCCAGGTAACAAGGGATCCCTCTGTCTCCCCTCTAGAAACCTCCCTCCTTTCTACTCCCTCTGTCCTACCATCAGAGCCTCAGTCCTTTTGTTTGATTAGTATGACCCAAGGCTCTGTCTCTCCGTTTAGCTTCTATTGTAGAAAGTTTAGGCATTTTACCACATTCCACATTTCACCCTTAGGATTAAAGAACATGTCATACTGGGAGATAAGAAACTGGGGAGAAAGAATGAAGACACTCAAAGGTCTGAAGTTTGGAGGAGGAAGGAACAGGGAGGGCAGACTGCCTCTAACCGGCATAGGGGGCACAGGTTACTCAAAGGGAGGTTCAAGGCAACCAGACCAAATTTAGCTCATCATTTGGTCTGGGAACCTCCCTTGGAGATGATCATCTACGCTGGTGAGTTACACTGGGCCTCATCTGTGTGTCCAGAGCAGTGGAAGCCAGCTCTTCTGCTGACCCTCTTGCCCAGGGCGCCTCCACGCCCCTCGCACCCGGGACAGACCAACACAGAGTGAACTAAGCGTCAGTTCTGTCCAGCTCACCTCGGGGGCTAGTCATGCAGCCTCTGCATGGAACCGTGAAGGATGCACGAAAGTCGTTTCCTCCATTCACACATCCACTACCTGCCACAGGAAGGGAAGTGAAATCTAACCTCAACAAACAAATCCAGAGCTAGAAAAATCCCAAAGATGCGTCTGGAAATAACAGAGAGTTTGGTGCTTCCCCTGCAGCCTCGGGCTCCCCGGCTGAACACACCGTACCCACCAGGCTGCCCTTCTCTGCCAGACTCCTAAAGGACAGGCTGTGGGGAAACCCCAAGGACTTTAGCCATTTGAGAGGTAGGGGGGAAAGGAACTTTCTGGAAGGAAAAAGAGGCCAACAAATGAAGCTCTGTGACCTTGCTTTTGAGAGTAGTTTGGTGAGGTTTGCTGCAGATAAGGAGAGAGTAGGTTCACATAGGGCGATAGAAGTGGGGTTGTGAGCCATGAGTCACTGAATTAGAAAGAGCTTCACAAGTCTTATTGCTGAGCTAGTTCTCCCCTCCCAGCTCTGAACCCGTGCTCAGGGGGCCCCACTCAGGCCTTCGTTTCCATAAAAATTAGCATGAAACTTATGGTGTAAATTTCCAGAAAAGTTGGGCTTTTTCTTTAAACGGGAATAGCTGAGAGCAGAAGGAATCCAACATGTGATACATTAACTCTCTGCTGCTGTAAAATGAGACTCAGCTATACATTTTACAAAAGCTCTCCCTTAATTTACAATGAGGATTAGTAGGAGAAAAAACTCTACACTTGTTAAATGCATTGAAAGCGTCGTAACTAATACTTTGATGTCTCCACGCATTCTCTTTTAGCCAAGTGCTTTCCGGGCCCTGGTCAGAGCACCCACCCCCTTCACCCACTCAGTAGGGTTGCCTCATTCATTGGGGGACCATCGCCTGAGCACTGCTGTGCTCTCCGCTTCTCTCTCATCCTTGGCCTTGCCTGTTGATTGAGCCCAATACTCCTTTCTTTTCTAGCCTATGACACAACAAAAATATCTGCTTTCACGAAATGGAAAATATCTTCTTTCACAAAGGTCAAAATGCGCTCCATCTTGACCTCAGTGATTTGCCTCCTCTTCTGATGTTGCTCCTGAATGAACATTCAGCAAACTTGTTTCTTAAAGAAATCCAACCCTTCCTTTTTTCAACAATGGCGCGCGCGCGCACACACACACACACGCACACGCACTGCTCCATCTTGACCTCAGTGATTTGCCTCCTTTTCTGACGTTGCTCCTGAATCAACATTCAGCAAACTTGTTTCTTAAAGAAGTCCAACCCTTCCTTTTTTCAACAATGGTGCGCGTGCGCGTGCGCGCACGCACACACACACACACACAATTTCAAAGTCCTCACAATACATTAGAAGATTTGGGTTTAACTTACATGGTAGTTTCTTCGGAAGCATAGTATTATGGCTTGAAGAGAGGGCTCACGGACCTCCCCAAGTATATAGCTCCTGTAGGTCCCAAATGTACTACCTGCCACAGCATCCCGAGCTGCACAATTCAAATGGATGCTTCAATCCGGAAACCTCATAAATCCTCTCCTGACACATTCCAGCTCTGGGCTCTTGCCTGGGCTCAGCCCCTTCCATGCCAAGTGGCTGCCCAGACTCCTGACCACATGTCTCACTCTTGCCTCATCCTTTCTGGCTCATTCTCTTGTTTATTGTCTCAGGTTGCTCAGTCTTGACCCTTGGTCCCCTTTACTCCCTTACACCTACCTCAGGTCTCAATATTTCTAAGCAACATCTTTCATTCACAGGGTTGCCAGATTTGCATAAAAATATAAGATGCCCAGTTAAGTTTCATTTCAGATAAATAAATAATTTTTTTTAATGCAGGTGGTCCCCAACTTAGTGATGATTTGACTTATGGTTTTACGACTTTACTATAGTGCAAAAGCGATATACGTAGTAAAATTACACGAGATAGTCAAACACTTTGTTATAAAATAGGCTTTGTGTCAGATGACTTTTCCCAACTATAGGCTAATATAAGTGTTCAGAGCATGTTTAAGGTAGGCTGGGTCAAGCTATGATGCATTTTTGACTTATGGTATTGTCAACTTCCAATGGGTTTATCTGGACACAATCCAATCATAAGTTGAGGAGCATCAGTATAAGCATGTCCCATACAATATCTGAGATATACTTATACTAAGAAGTTGCATGTAGTTTATCTGAAATTCAAATTTGACTGGATATCCCATATTTTATCTGGCAGCTCTATAATCATTTTTCATTCATTCATCAAACATTTATGGAGAACTTACTATGTGTCAGGCATTGTGCTAGGTGCTAGAAAAGCCAGCCATATCTCGGTCTTCATATCTTACAGTATATATACTTTGCACACACACACAATAGATATAGATAGATGACAGATGACAGATAGATAGATAGATAGATAGATGAGATAGATGATAGATGATAGATAGATAGAAAGGCAGACACACATATGTATGACTATAAGAAACTATAGGAAAAGAGCCATCTGTGCCTACCCCATGCCTCCCAGCACAAACAGAATAGATGCTCAGTAAAGGTGCGTTGAGTTTCACCCCTGTCTCTCCTGACCTACAGAGAGTAGATGGCCCACAGGTAGGAGGATGCATGAGAACTTTGTTGTTGCAGGCCCACCATGTGCACCACCAGTGCGTGTGACCTGGAGGAGATCTCCCTTGATGATGACGACCCAAACACCATAGAATTCAAAATCCTGGAGTTCTATGTCAAACACCATGTCTTCAAGAACACCTCCGCTGTCTTCTCACCAAAGCGGCTGAGAACAAGAAGTCTGTCTCAGAAAGGACTGGGGAGCTGGTCAGCAAACGAGTCACGGACACAGGTATCCTGGCCTTGCAGAAATTCCCGATCCAGTGAGAAATCCATAAGCCTTGCCAAGAAAAAGTCTTCTTGGAGAACACTCTTTGGAGTAATAGAGAAGGAAGAAGACTCACAGAGCTCGCCTTCGGAGACTCAAGCTGTGGCGCTAGGGGCGGCAGAATATCAAGGCAGTCTTCACGGTCAGCAGTGGTCTAGGACCCTTTCTAATGTGGAGCAGCGCATAGAGCCCGAAGGTAGGATTTTGGGGCGATTCTTTCTCTCCCTCAACCAAATCTCTCCCTTCTCTGTGTGCATGGTAGTTCATCTCTTCCCGGCTGACAATGTGGCCTTAGGCAGGGCACTCGCTGTGCCTTTGCTTTCCAAGTTATTAATATTCAGTAATATTTGCTCTAATTTTCTCAAGACTGAGCAAAAAGGAAGAGGATGGCATTGAAGGGCAACAGGACTGGTTTTCCGGCTCCACTGCCTGTAAATGAGCTTATGCCCAAATTCCTAAACCTCCATGCCAGAGATCGATGTAAAGGAAAGAGCTCAGGATGGGCTCGCCATTGCTCTTCCTGGAGTAAGCCACCTCACTTCTCGGCACCTCTGTGCTTCCGTCTGTACATTGGGGTACCCCGCCCTCCCCACCTCTTAGGGCAAATGGAAAGATCAGGTAGCTATATACAAACATACTTTTCAAAGTTTAAACCATTCTAAAAAAAAAAAAAAAACTGAGAAGTATGTGACACACTTTTCCCTCAGTGGGAAGATACATTCTATTGACTAAAACGTTTTCACAAAAGTCTTCATCACAGAGCGTTGCCCTTCGTCCACATAAGCGTCTTCCTCCCCTTCAACAACACCTAGTGCCCAATGCCCAGATTTAAAAGAAAATCCCCTGGGCTGATTGGATTGTGTAACTTGTCAATAATTAGTCAACAGGTGGCAGTCATGTCTCAATTTTTTAAATCTAGTGACTGTCCTGGCTTGAAAAGTCAGCTCGCATGTGGACAATATTAGATCATTCATCGTGATCAAGAACACTCCCATTTCTCATTAGACACAGAATTTTAGAACAGGAGGGTCAGATTACCTGGGGTACTCCTCCTCTCCCCCGTGGTACGGCAGCCACCCGCTGGGCGTGGTCTCTGAGCTCTGGAGCAAGCAAAAGAGTTTCAGGGCACCTACATAGGCTCTTCTTCTTGGCCTGTTCTTTAGACTTTGCCAGGAGACAGAGGAAGATTTTACAGACTTTCATCTTCTGGCTTTTGTGAGACAAATGACATCCTGTATTTCCATACTACCGAAGTGTCATTTGACCTTTTTTATTTCCTAAAATTTCAAGATCTCTCTATACATAGATAGCTCTTAAAAAAGGAGACATGATCGCCTCCTAAGGAGGCTTAGCTTTGAACATTCGTGTACAGTTATCCTCTCTTCTCACCTTTCTCTTTCCTCACTTTCTTGTTTAGTTAAATATGTGGGTGGTTAGTTGGTTTTATGTTGGGTGTGAGCCTCGCATTCTATTTCTATTTTGCCCCATATAAATCAGAGCTCAGCAGTTGGCTTCACCTGGGTTCTTTTAACTAAAGGTCATGATGGAGTCCGGGCTGCCATTTGCAGGACTCAGACAACAGGCTTAATTGACAACTTTTTAGAAACTGCCAGCCCAGATTCTTTCGCTTGTGAATCTTTTATTTCTCTGTAGCTGTGATTCACTACATGTGGAATGCTGCAGTTAGGATTAGGCTCAGTGACATATAGTGGAAAATTCCAATAACTGTGGTTAAATAATATAGAGGTTATTTTTCTCTCCCATTAAAAGAAGACCAAAGTTTGGCAGCCCAGGCCTGATACGGCCACTCCATAGTCATTAGGGAATCTTATTCTACTGTCCCTCAGTCGGTGGCTTCCAGCCTCACAGTGACCTTATATTCCAAAGTGGCTGCCGGGACACCAGCCCATCCCGCCTACATTTCAAGCAAGAAAATAGAGGAGGCAAGGGAAGGACAAAAGGGCATCTCCTGGATAATTCAGCTCCTTTTTGGAGAGCGTTCTTAAAACTGCACCCAGCTCCTTACGTCTCACTGGGCACTCCTTACTGCAAGGGAGACTGGGAAATGTAGTTTTTGTGTGTGGGCCCACTGCTGCCTCTGACATTCCAGGGGTCTGTTACTAAGGAAGAAGAAAATGGATACTGGGTGGGAAATTGCTGTCTCGGTCATGTGAAAACCTCTCCCAAACTCCCTGCCCCTTCCCTTTAAAGCAAATGCCTCGGGCCAAAGGCCAAATGGCACCTTCCCAACTCTGCTCCCCTCTCTCCTTGGCTCCACAATGACCCCCAAAATAGACTCCAAAGGATGGGCAGCCTTTCTGTTCTCTTTCTGCCCTCATCTAACTTTTCATTGCTTATGAGATGGAACCTGCTCTGACAGAAAGGGAATCTTGTCATTTTCCGGTGTTTAAAATTAAGGCATTCAGAATGAGAATCTTAATCTTAAATAGCCAGTCCATCCGAATCAAAATGTGTTTGCTTATAGTTTTTCCTGCGTGTATTTCATCTGCACCCATCACTCCATGCCCACTGATTTATAGAAATCGATAAAATGAACACAGGTTAAGTCAGACTGTGTGCTTCTGTACCTGCTGGAGGTCTTGTGATTGCCCCGCCACTTGGGGGCAGGGGGGCAGGGGGATGACAAGGGACAGTCTTTGGGGCCTGTATCTGCCTTCTCTGGGTACAAGATGCACTTCTGTTGAGAGAGCCAGGCACTGATGGCCCTAGACAGGCTGCACCAGGATACCGAGGTAGAAAATGAAGCTTTCCTTTCCCTTCTGTGGACGCTGCAGAGGAAGGTTTTCATCGGCTTTGGGATGCGCCCCCTTGCCATTTCCTTGCCAGAGGCCATCGGTGGCCAGAATCCAAGAGGAGGCCGGTTGGGCTGCAATAAGGCGATTTAAAAGTGGAAAGTATATTTGTTTTGGTTGTGAGAATAGGAAGAAAACGCAGTGGGCCTCTGTACTTGACCGCTATTCTTTTTTCTTTAATTACCTTATCCAGTTTTGAACCCTATGGATGGAGCATGAAACATATGGCTTTTTAAGGAAGCCATTATGCCTTTTTTTAGAGGGCGGCATTACAAACAAAGCATTTGTCTCTGTGGCCTTTCAGCGAACGCCAGCAGTGGAAGGGAGAGCAGCGAAGCTCTCGTGCTATGGAGGAGCCCAGGGAGAGAGGATCGGAACTCACTTTGGCAGCTCCGCAAGGGGTCAAAACCGCGTTTCGTGTGACACAATCTCTCCTGAGACTCAGGCCTTGCCTCTTACCTATCCTGGTTTATAAAGCCTAGGGATTCCCCTGGCACACAAACCTCCCAGCCGAAACTCTTCCTTCAAGTCTGTGAGTTAAATAGTATTATTTTGCAAACATTATGTGATAAGCCAGCTTCATATGGCTTTGAAGACAGGCCTTGTACAAGCTTCTAAAAGTTAAGAACTTAGTAATGAATCGACAATAAAAATTGTACTCCCAAACAACTCAGCAATACCGCCTGTTCACCCCACCGACTCCACCCCGCCACCAGTGGCAAAGCGACTTGTCTTTCACAGGCTTTGACGTTCAGGGGGCCAATGTCATTTAAACCTTCATATTTCAGAATGCTTTATTCTATAGTTGTGTGTGCAAACACATACTCTATCCCCGTATTGAACATTCTCGAAGTCCATGGTTTGCATTTTGTGTGTCCTTGTTTCCTATCAGCCCTAACGGGATGTTTCCCAGAAGCCCTGGAGGAGAGAGGACTCTATAAGCAAGGGCAGTTCAGTGTTTACTTGGTAATAGACTTGAGTAATGAATATGGCCTGAGAGCAGGGATATTTCTCTTTCCTTAGTGACCAACCCCAATGGCTTGTCAAACTATTGAATGCCCTTCTAGGCACATAAGGGCCAGCTCTCCAAGATATAAAGGATGTCCAAAACGACAACAGCAACAACAAAAAGTATAAAAATAAAAGCATAATGAGCATTCCCTCAAGCAAAGAACTAAGCACTCTCTTTTGTGTTCCTTCCTTCGCAAAGGGGAAAGGGGACCCTAATTTTGCAAGACTTCAAAAAGAGGGTGCAGAAGGGCAACTGTTTCAAGGTGGCAATTATTCCTCTGTGGACTCCTCCCCAATCCCAGCCTCTGCCAGGCAACTGCCAGTGCTTTTTGAAGAATGGGCCTCCCCCCAACACATGCTCCCAGGCAGTTTCCTCTCACTCTAGGCTGGCCTTTTCATTTCGAGCAACTGTGCATACCAATGAGCCAGACCAAGTTCTTCTGGGAAGGGCTTCTCAGCACCGTTTTGTCTTGTTTCAGATGTGGACCCCAAGGTTGTTTCCATCGCCAACCGAGTTGCTGAAATTGTTTATTCCTGGCCACCACCAGAAGAGCACACCCAGGGAGGAAACTTCAAGACCAAAGGGAGTGTGGTACCACAGGCTTTCCACCTGCAGGCCCAGGGCTCCCAGTCTAGAGCTGCAAGTCCTAAGAAAGGTAAACTTCCCTCAGAGTGTTTGTGTTGGGCTGGTGTTTTCTAGGCAGAGGTATACAAGCATTTATGTATTTATTCGGCTTAGCGCTCTGGGACTTAGGAATCTCTGCTGACCTGAACCAAAGTCATGGCAGCAACATGCTGGAGGCCTTGACCTTCAGCTTAGAGACCAGCCCAAGCAAAGGGGAGTGTGCCAGCAGATGGAAGCGACTGGCCAAGCTCACTGCTAAGTCCAAAGAAAAGTCTACGGAAAGGAGGAGGTACAAAATGTGCAGTCAACTCTGTCCATTTTCCCCCTTCCTGGGGGAAATGCAGTATTAGATTTAATCGTGTTAGCAATGGCCACGGACCAGTTCGCTCATGCGAGAGCCTAGGGCGTAGATGGAGCACCAGCCCTGGAAGTTATAACATTGCCTTCGGCTCCTGTGAAAGAGCAGGGGTAGGGTGGGAGGGGTGGGGCATCAGACATCAGGTCTGGTGCAACACACGAAGCAGGACAGAGGAGTAGTGACCAGACTGGGTCAGTTGTCACCATAACTGTAGCAATAGCTGGGACTATAAGTCCCATCAGACTTGCAGGAATCTGGAGTTTAGGGGAACAGGACCACGTGCCACAGGAAGGGAAGTTCAGTCCTGCACTCCCTCACTAATGACAGTCCTTACTCATGGCTGACATTCCCCAAACTCCAGCAGAGGATGAGGGGGCAGAGGTGGCTCCTGGGTCTGTAGCATGGCAAAGCACAGGGCAAAAGTTCTCCCTCCAAAGGTGTAGTGTCTCCTCACCCTGAAAGTGGAGTTTGTCCACCCTGTGCTGTACTCTTGGGACCACAAACTATCACAGGGGCTTGGGGCAGGGGTGGGGTGGGGGGTGGAGGAGGAAAGGACTCTTTGAGTCTGCTGAAAAGAGAGTGTCGTCTCCACTTCATTGCTCTCATGTGTCTGAGCAATGCAAAACAAAACACCCACACCAAGCTAAAGCTGAAGCTCTTATCCTCTGTGCACGTGAGACATTGGGGCCACTGGCCCAGCAGCTTTCCTGGAGAGAGGCTGCAGCAGCAGTGAAAGCCACACATGGGCGCTGGAGATACGCATTCTTTCTTCTCCCAGGTGACCTGAGTCTCGGACTTCCTACTTACCTTGCCCTTCTCTTGACCTTTTTGGGACGTGACATCTTACATTAATTTCTTGGCCTCTCTTTCACTCTTATCTGGGACAAATATGAGGACTCCATGACTTCAGAGATAGTTCCATAAGTAAAAAATGCTGTTCTCTCAGTAACTGGCTTTTTCTCTGTTTGGATTCTGTGCTATAGCAATGACCATTTATTTCCCTCATGTTTCATTGTTAGACATTTGAGACAAGAAAAATCCTACCCCACGTCCCCCGTTCCAACATACACACCACACACCAATTGTAGCTGTCTCTCTCTCCGTCTGCATTTTGGCCCTTGCAGTAGGGGAACTTATTAACTTTATTTATTTATACCTCACCTTGTTTTAAAGACACAGCCTACAGAGCACACATTTTGGTAAGGTAAAATAAATCAAAGTTGAAAAATAATGTAAAAAAGAAAACAACAGCAAGAAAATAAGATGGGTTTAGAGAATGAGTTTAATTCTCAAAATGCAGGCCAGGAGGGCTGTACCCCCCTCTTAAATGAGGCCACGAATTTGGCTATTTCTAGCACTGTTCAAGGGGGAATATAATCAATATCTTTAGAGCTGGAATCATGTGTAGTGGAACTAACATCTTCAACAACATTTTTATGGCAAATAAAGTGATGAATTTCACGGTGAGAATTGAGGGCTGAAGGAAGAAAGAATAATAAGAAAGGG